TTTTTTTTTTTTTTTTTTTTTTTTTTTTTGGTTGTGGGCTAACTGTTTGTGGTTTTGGGCTTTTAAAATTATTATTATTATTATTATTATTTTCCTTTTGGCGTGGGGCGAGCGCTCTGCGCTTGGAGAAGGAGCCGGAGGGACAAGGCTACCGCTCTCCAGCCCCCGCCGTGCGCGCATGTGTGTGTGTGCGCGCCCATCTCCCCCCCGCCTCGCAAAAGTTTGCCTGGGCGGCCGGGGGGCTCCCGGGCCGCCGCCCCCGCAGCCGGGGGGCGCGGCGGAGGCGCGGCGGAGCGGCGGAGGCGGCGGGGCGGCTCTTGCGCGCCGCGCGGGACTTGCGCTCCGCGCCATGCCGGCGGCGCGGGGGGCTGCGCGGCGCTGCGCCCTGGCGGGGCCGCTGCTGCCGGTGCCGCCGCTGCCGCCGCCGCCGCCGCCGCCGCTGCTGCTGCTGCTGCTGCTGCTGGTACTGCCGGTGCTGCCGGCCGCGGGGACCGAGGGCAAGGCGCGGAGCTGCGGCGAGGTGCGGCAGGCGTACAGCGCCAAGGGCTTCAGCCTGGCCAGCGTGCCCTACCAGGAGATCGCAGGTAAGGACGGGGCCGGGCGCGGCGGGGAGCGGGCAGGGGCCGCGGAGCGGGGCCAGAGCTGCCCCCGGCGGGCTGCGCGCACGCCCCAGCGGAGCGGGCCGGGGATCGCGGCGGTGTGCGCGGAGCGGAGCGGAGCGGCTCTGCCGGCCCGGGTGGCACCCGGGGGCTTCCCGGAGGAGCATGTGTGTGGGTGAAGATAAAGATTAAATAATACAGGAATTAAGGGGGTGGGGGTTAAAAAAAAAAAAAAAGGGGAAAAAAAAAAAAAAAAGAAAGGGGAAAAAAAAAAAAAAAAGGGGTGAGAATGACGGGGACGCAGGCAGGCTCAGCCGCGTTTCTGTTCGCTGGCTGAAACTTCTTGAGAGTTGCAGCCGGGCGGCGAGAGGCAGCGGGCAGGTCCGCAGTGGCGGCTGTCCCCGCTGCAGCCCTGTGCGGGGGAAAAAACTTTGCCCTCTGCCCGCGGGTACAGGGCGTGAAGGAGGCGGCGGAGGAGGAGGAGGGCGAGGAGGGCAGCCCTGCTCCGCTGAGCTCCGCACCTCTCCGCGGCCCCGGGCGGGCGGGTCGCCCCTTGGAGGCGCCTCCGCCGCAGCACGGAGCGAGCAGAGGCACCGGCTGCCGGGGAGAGGCACCCACACACATCACACACACCCGCCCCGCAGCCCCGGCAGCCTGTTACTTGGCTCTTCCGTCTGCTGAAGCATGCCTACAACAGGTTATATCGCAATCCGCCTACGAAGGTGTTGGGAACGGTTTTTTGTTGTAATTCTATTTCCCTGTTTTTCCATACAACCTTATCAGTTTTGCATCTTTAAGGCTGAATGAATAAAAATGCGTTTGAGGCTGAGACTCATTTAGCAGTCAGAGAGCACCACAAAAAGAGAGCTATTATACGCGAGGATATGAACCGGGGCTGCTTAAATCGGACTGCTTGAGCCCTCAAAAAAGGTGTATGCTTCGCCACTGGCACTTTGCTGTTAGGTCCTACTATTTTAGAGTGAATTAGATGCTCCTCGGTTTGCTCGCTTCCTCTTAAAAGTTGGAAGCAGTAGATTTATCTTCCTTGAGGTGAAATAATGCCACAGTTATTCACTGTGCAACATTTAGCACTTTACATGAGGAATGATAAATGTGGAAAATCTCAGGGCAGCGAGGCTGTACTTCACAAAGATACAGGGAAGGTTTGTTCCATGTTGCACCTTCATCCCTCAGGCTCACTGATTTTCTAGTCTTTCTGTGCTTTTTCCTGTAATTTATATTCAGGTTGCTCATCAGTTATATGAAATCATGAAATCTCTCCTGTGAGCCACAGGAGATCCTTTGAATATGCAGTCATGCTTTCCCTTTGCTCACTGTTACACTAGCTGTTTTCAGACAGAATGGTAGGATATCCTCTGTTCCAATAAAAAAAGAAATTCCAGTAAATTTCAGACTTCTAATAACTTTGGGTAAACACTTGTTGCTTTCAGCTCACAGAGAAGTTTTATTGTTTCATGTATTTTTAGTGCAAGGTCGACATGCGACTTTTAAGTAAGCCCAGCATTTACAAGTTTCTGTTGACATGTATCAGTACAGAAAGTAATTAAATATTTAATAGTAGTTCAATCCAAAATTACTCCACAGTTTCATAAGTAAATCTGCTTTTATGATTAAGTACATGATTTGTGGATGTATGAGTTATGAGCTGCCTGTTGAAGTAGTTTGGTTTTTTTTGTGGCTTATACTCCTTTTTGCTAGTTGATGTATCAACTTTTGAGTAGTTCTGTTTGTAGCTGTTCAAGTGAGTTGTTGTAAGACTAAGATTGTTTTCAAGTGTGTTTCTAAGTTGCTGTTCTTGTACACTGCTGCAAGGTGGGGTAATAGCTGTTCATGCAGCACGGACTCTTGTTAATGTTAAAGCTCTGTATTTGCTACCTGGTGCGATGTTGGAAGTGTAGATAAAGCAATGAATGTACAGATTTTAGAAGCGTTTTCCTTTTTTTTTTTTTTTTTCCCATTCTGTCTTTTTCCATCATTCTGACTCGGTTAAGGACGCAATTGGTTAGTGTTACAGAAGTGTAGTCTGTCAAAGGCCTCACGTTTTAGGGAGTTCAAAGAACTTTATTACAGTCATATTTCTGAAAAAACAGTGCTTTCACAGGTTTTAAATCAATGTCTTGATAATATGATGTTAAATAGCAATACACAGTGTGGTTTATATGTTTTGGTTTAACAGTAGTAATGGATTTTTGTTGTCATTTGTTTAAAAGTTATTTTCTAGCTACAACTTTTGAAATGGATAAACTGAAGACAGTGCGTATATACTGAGTCAAAGTGTGTATGTACTGATGTAAAGAGTTGTGAAGAATCCATTTAAATTATAGAGGCTATGAACATAGAGGTATCTCTCTGTTGAATGGAACTACAATACAAGAGACTTGTTAGCTCCCTTCTTTAATGCTATTTATACTGTCTCTCCCTTTTGCACAGAGAAGGTAGAAGTGACAGATTAAAAAAGTTGTCAGTTTTTGCGCTGCAAGGGAGAGTTTTCCTACAGTATTTTGTTGCACATGAAATATGTTGAAGTTGCAGTAATGTGACTACAGTAGTTCACTGTACTTTTACAACAATGCTAAATAGTTCTGTGTGATTGCACAGAACGTATTTGTAATCATCCTTCTGTGTCTGATGTCTGTGTCTGATCACCGCATTCTGGTGCTGTAACTTTCACTGGAGTACAGCACATGAAGTTGTTTTCTGGCATAGTTTAGCAGAGTAAGTCCTCAATAAAGGAGCTTTACCTGGGAATGGAGGGCACAGGAAGAAAATTTGAAGTGCACTTGATATGCTGCTGTAGGCTTAATTCTGTGTATCGGTCACATGCAGGGCAGGTGGCAGGAGCTTGCAGTGTGTGCTGGGTTGTTCTTGTAATGGACTCCTCTCTGAGAGCTGCTGTGGAGTATCCTGTGTGTTAAAAAGAGTTTTGCTATGAGACTCAGGTTGCCATGACCCAGCATCCATGAGTGTTAGTGGAGTTCCTGAGGACTTGGCAAGAAATGCTTTGCTGTAGGAAAATCTGTCATTTGAAAGTCAACACACAAGAGAAAAATCATAGAACATGTTTTTTTGGCAATACTTGTTTAACTCCAACCATGCCTTCAGTAACTTACATTGTCTTAGAGGAAGCCATGAAAATAAAACATCAAAGTTAAAGTTGGATTGTGCCCTTGCCTCAGAATTTACTGAATGAAAATGAATATCTGACTGTTTAAAGTAGTGGATGTGTCTGCTTTGTGCCTTTCCACTTCTAAGGTGAAGGGTGTGGGGGTTTTGTGTGTTGTGGTTTTGGTTAGGATTTGTTTTTTTTGTTTTGTTTGGAGAGTTTTTACTATTTGCTGAAAAAATGTTTATTTAGATACAGACTAGAACTGTTCTAAAGCATCCAACAGTAACGATGCTGAATTCTAAATGCTGTGTAAGAAGTATGTGAACTTTGTTCTCCTGCACAGATGATGGACGAGGTGAGAGTCTGGCAGCACAGTCACCATAGTCAAAGTAACTAAAATGAAAGCTGGAGCAAACCCTTCATTTTGAAGGTCAGGAGTCACTTGAAATTGAGCTTTGATGAATAGGCTTTATACTGGCATAATACAGAGGCGTTGACTGAAGCGAGAAAGCGTACATAACACAGTTGATTGTAGATCCTAAGTGGTAACAACAACAACAACAACAACAATAATAATAGTAATAGTAATAGTTATAGTTATAATAATAATAATATCTCAGTAGTCACCCATTCAATGGAGCTATTAGTCCATGTCAGATGTTCCCAAGATACTCTTTCTGAAAGTTTTGCTTTCGTACTCTAAAATGCAGTAATAGATTTACAGAATAGGGAAAATCCTCCTGACTGAATCTGTATCCAAGTACTTGTTCATTAATGCCTTTTTATACTGTTTCTCTGCTGCTGTCTCTGAGAGCTGTGTGAAGAAAGTGCCTGTAGACCAGGAGGCAGATGAGGTTTCACTGACATCTTGTGTGGTTGCCTCAGTAGTATTAAGGAAATTTATTTACTAAAATAAATACTATATTCAGTACAAATTTTTGAGATCTATTATGAGCCATTAGACATTAATTCATTCCTGATCTCCATGATGGCAGTGAAGATGGGCATGGAATTTCATGTAAACTTTATATTTCCTTTTTGCTTTAGCACTGTTGTAGTTGTATCCTCCACATTGTATGTGACTTCTCTCACCTCTGTTTGAAGTTGCAAATTTCAGCATCAAGAGCCTCTCAGGTCACTTCTCCTTATGGCCTCCCTTATTCTCCTGTTGTGGGTGCATGGTGCACAGTAATAAATTGGCATGTGCGTATAGGTAGGAGGAAGTGTAGTTTTCCTAAGACCTGTCTTTGCTGTCACTTCTCTACATATCTATTGGTTTGTGTGTGACTGATGCCGTTAAAGGGAATACAACTTACGTATGCACATCTAAAACCTAAAGGTGATGTTTTTAAGATCAGGGCCTTTGAGAAGAAATATCATGTTTTTAATGCTTATAAATAATTCAATGTTGAATGAGAATTTTAAATCTCAGCATCTGGAGTTTCCCACTGTGACTTTATGCTAGAGTATCTTGGAAAGAGGGACTTTAAAATAGAAAAGGCAATGCTTTAATAATTAATGTAATGATGAACTTCAGCGTATTGTCTCTAATAATCTCTTTTCTTTCTGTTGTCAGTCTGATTTATAATCAAAAAGCTTACCTAAAGCTATAATATTTTCTACACTTCTAAGTGCTAATGTGTTAAACTGTTCTAAAGCTGTATTAGTACCTGTTTCATCACATGCTGTTGTGAAATACTCCTGAGATTAGGTGGTGTTCAGACACCAGAGGTCAAGCACTATGTTAAAAGCTCAGGCCATTCTTTTTTATATTATAGCAATAAAAAATATATTCATTTCATTTATATTACCACTTGGCTCTCATAAAAGGTCAGTTCCAGCTGAATGTACAATTACT